AGTAAATATATAAATATATAATAAAAAATATATAATACATCTATATATATATAATTTCTAAATGTCTAAATATCTAAATCTATATATATACGTTTTGTTATCTAGGGTGTGTATGTGCTTGTGGGTTTGTAGGCGTAGAAATATAATTAGATACACAGATTATCCATACATGTGTATTATACTTACCTTATATAAGGTACAAATATTATATGTATCTATACCTATATTTATAATATCCTGGCATTGTGTAACGCGTCAATACGCCCTGCTTGTAAATCCCACGCAGGTTGAAACATAGCTTATTCAAGATTTTATTAGCAATATATGCACACATCATTGAAAATAAAGATATTAAATAATATAAGGATCCCTTTAATAAAACTGTACCAATTTTCGATACCCCAGGAGGGCGAATTTACATTTTGTTAGTTTATTCTGTACATCGAGATCTAATCAATAGACCAATACAACATGGCGCAACAACAAATGCGCCCAATGTATCGCCGTAGGACGATATGCTGACGATTGTTTTTCGCGTAGATATGGGGGAAAGCGACGATACATATATCTGTATATGAACACACACACACATATATATATATGTGTGTATACAAAACTTACGTAACTTTGTCTCCTTTCCCATTCACCACCTCTTCCATAGCTGTGTATAACGCATTAGTCGACGTTACATTACTATTCAGCCACGCAGCACCCCCCCCCGTCGAATCCTCCATCGTAGCCCCCGACCCAGAGCCACCTGACGTCGACATGTCCATCATATTCCCACTATTCTGAAAAGTATACGAACTCGTTGGGAACTTGAACACCCCCGGCGTGCTATGCCGCAATGATCCACTGTTAACCACCGCCCCTGTCGCCATGGACAGGGCCGGGTGTTGCCCCATTGAACTGGAGTTAGTGGCTGCCAGCCTATTCAACGACATGTGTACGTTACGCTCGTCTGGAGTACGGATTAGGGTATCACTCAAAGTCCGGTGCACGCCACCGCTATCGTTCCACATGGCGCTTGGATTACGCAGGTCACTATCATCCCCCATTCCGTGGCGTTGCTGTTGTATTTGTTGCTGCCCTTGTTGTAGTTGCTGTTGTATTTGTTGCCGCCCTTGTTGTAGTTGCTGTTGTATTTGTTGCTGCTGCTGTATTTGTTGCTGTTGTTGTAGTTGCTGCCGCTGTTGATGGTTGTTAAAGGTGTTGTGTTGAAGTTGTTGACGATTATGTGAGTTGTGGCTGTGGTTCGGTGGGTTCTGATCGGTGCCGGTTTGCTGCGAGTTCTGCATGGACTGGAACCAGAACGGCGATGTAATACCGGCCACATCAGACGACAGGCCATTGATGTTTGACAGGAACGGCTGACCCCCCGGCCATCGCCGCATCAGACTATTATCAGTTGAGGTGTCCTCTTGCACTTCCGGTATTGTGTTGACGGGCCGCGACGAGATGGATCGCATACTACTTATACCCATCCCATCTTGCACCATAGTACCGATATTATATGTCTCCCCTTCACTGATGCAGCCCATACTATTCGCCAGATATAGATCTAATCCCGACGGGGAGTCGTTCGACGCCACCTGCATCGGATCCAACCCAGCACCCGGCATACCAGAACCAAACAGTCTGGCATAGTAGTTATCCAGATCTTCGCCATAGTTACCAAAACCCAGTCTATTCGTATCCATACTCTCAGACATCATGGAAGTTTGCGCCTCCACACCTGAGACCATGCTTTGTCCCGTTTCAGCCTTCACCCCAGCGTTCATATTCGACTTCAACACCGACTCTAGAAGCCCATCCGAGCCCTGATTCGCACTGCTTCCCATCTGCCCGTGAAAGGTGGGTTCCGGCATACCCGTATTATACTGGTGCTGTCTGGCTTGGTTGCGTCCCAGCTCGTGCGTGTGGCTGCTCCCATATGACTGCACATTCGGAAGCGGCTGTGGCGGCAAGTCGGTGACCAATACCCCGTTCGTACTGTGCCTTCGCGAATGTCCTCCTACTTTACCGGCTGATACGAGTGCAGTATCATCCGTAATAGCTGCCATACCTACATTGTGGGCGCTCCTACCCCACTCCCGCGCTCGCTGTCCTAGGCCTTGGGCTCGAGCCTGAGAATGAGCCTGATCTTGATCCTCGCCCTGCAAGGGTGCTGACCACCCACTCGGCAGACAAACATCACTTCGCATACATCGAGCACCTTCACCGTTTGAAGGCCTCGCAGTGTTAGCGTTAAAGTTAGCACTAGCGTGCGACTGAGACGGACCGTCGCCACTGTCACCGTAGATCCCCTCCCGCTCGCTTGCATACATGTCTTCCGCAGTTAAGCTCCGGTCCAGGCCCGCACTGTTAGGCGCTGACTTGGACTCGTCATGGGACTGACTTATCCCGCGGACCAACCCCTGTTCACCCTGCGGCTGCGAATTCGATCTTTCACACGTATTGCCGTACATGTCTTTATCATGCTGCCCGTTGGACGAGTGAGCCTTGTTCTCTCTATAGTCAAAGTCGGGTCTGACAGCCACCCCCTCTTTCAGTGTACCTGGATTGGTGGTGGCCTGCAGCATCTTTCTGGCTTCATCCCAGATCTCCAGCTCAGTATCTGATGGGGTCTGTGACCGCTTACCCACTTGCCCTCCAGGAGGAAGTTCGGTACCGCCGTTGGCGGCCCCACCCTCACTCCCGCTTCGATGTAATAACACCCCGTCCCGGTCGGTGAAATCATAGTTGACGTCGAGGTCGAACCGGGACAGATCCGCGCCGTTTGCATCCAAGACGGCAATTCTGTTCCGCACTAATTTTGTCTTGATTAGGTGCTTACTGGACATGTGGTACTGCAGACTTCGCCAGGCTTGGTAACGGTTGGTGCAGCCCTTATATCTACAGGTGAAAGGTCTCAGCAGTTCATTCCCGCCCCGTCTGTGCCTCCGTGAAGGCACCTGCGGGTCTCTTTTCGGACTGTTCATCGGGGGAATCGGATACACCGCCCCTATTTGGGACCCATTGTGTGTGTGTGACTGTGTATTGATGTTCTGAGCTTGCAACGATGCTGATCTGACGGGTAAAGTTGTTTCATCGAGTGGATCTAACGACATACTCGAGGCTCGAGTCGATGACATCAAACTGTGAGTCGTTGACGGTCCCTGATACGATCCAAAACTGTCGACACTATTCTGATGCACTAGTTGACGTTGTTGCTTGGCCTTGGTGTCATTGAGATACATCTGGAGGGATTGGTTATGCTTTCGGAAGTGATCAGACGTAGGGTTGTGTGACGAGTGCCTATGTACCAAGGTATTTGTGGCTCGCTCTTGTGCAGCCTGCGCATAATCAGCACTGGCCGTATCAGCTGATTTATCCTCGGATTTAGACCGGAAGCCCTCTGTCCAATCCATATCTCCTACCTCAGTACTATTTAACTCCTTAGGTGTGCTCGTATTCGCATCGGCGGAATCGATGTTCATCTTGGCCACCAACTCAGACGTGCTCATATTATTTATGCACGATGATAAAAGCAGCGCGTCGAGTGAAGCAAAATCAGGGCACGACCCAAACCTACCCGACAGACTTGCATCCGGGCCACCCACGCTCACGCCCATTTGATCTTGTGTATTTGCGTTCGAATGTTCCTTATTATTCACGTTGTTGAACTCTGACCCCCGATCCATACCGAACAAAGTGTTATTATTTGTAAGTGAGGATTGACTAATATTTGTAAGTGAGGATTGACTGATATTCGCATCCTTCCGCACAAACCCTGAAAGACACTCAGTTAAATTCGACCGTGATTCCAGCGGCGAAGAGGTAGCATAAATACTCTTTCCAGGCTCGTTGCTACTATTTACATATATGTTTGAGCTTTTCATAAACGTCTTACTGTCTACTCCTAGTACGTGCATGGGTATGCCATCGCTGTGATAGTCGTCGTTACGCACGCCTGCAACATGCATGTAAAAAGCACGACACTGCGCGCACCGGTGATGAGCTAGATATTAAGCCAGACCTGTGTTCAACTATGCTACTGGATGCAGCTATACGAAATGAATTTGTTATTCAGTATGCCAACTTCACAGATACTAGGAAAAAACAATTCTAGAACTTTCACGTTACCTTTGTGCAAGAACGCTCTCAATTAAACATGTGTGGACTAATTTACCTCAGCAGTCGGCTGTCATGCGATGTACAAGCGTGCATCAATCTGCTATTTATCCAAGCCGTGCAGCTTTCACAGATGAGACCAGCTCTAAGCTTACGTATGAGCTTAATTGTATAAAAATTCACATGTGTGAAGATTATCGATACTTTGTACAAAGTGTACCGTCGCGAACCTATGACAATCGGTTTTTGTCATGGAACAAGCACTCACTGTATCTTGTGGTAGTTATCGGTGTCAGCTGACATTAGTTATCTACCTGATCTAGAGATGTGTATATTCGAGATTATTTAAATAAACTGACTCATACACAGCATAAAATAGTATGCTAGTATTGCTCGATGTATGCGAAAGTGACGAGAGCGTACATTTATGTCGATATGATATTTAACTGTGGTGGCTATAAAAAAAATAGGCGTACGGTGCCTTCAGGTCAGTGGGCATAGACGGTGCCAAACGAATGTGTGAGACTGTGAGTCTGTGTCACTGTGAGTCATCAGCTGTACGGTACTATTAAAATACACTATTAAAAATAAAAATAAACCCCTCCCCTGGACAGGGCCGCGGGGCCCTGATCATCGTGGAAGATACGGAAAAATGGAAAAAATAATATTTTTTTTCTTCTTCTTGATATTTTCGAGGAAAAATATAGCAGCCTACGTACAACAGTTAAAACTACGGTGAATACAGACAATTTGTAGTGAATTTACTTGGAGCTTGAAAAGTTGAAATCTGTTGCAACTTTCAAGATATTTTTATTTATGTGGTTAAATATATCCATTGCCTTGTTCAATTGGTTTTATACAAAAAATCATCAAGAAGACTACTGTATATGGATAAAAATATATAAATTTCAAAAAAAAAAAAGTTAATCTGTCCTATATATAAACAATATATGTCTCCTTCATAAACATCAAGGCTATTTATGTAAATACATACATATTCCTGTCTGAGGCCGGGTCTTAACTCTAATAGTTGCCAGCCAATAGTATGCTCGACTAAATTTAAAAAAAAATGATTTCGTGTCCCACTTTTGAAAACTTCCAGAGACAAAATTTGTCTCTTGTAATAGTTGATTTCGTTATAGTTTTACGTTATAGTCGGAATCTTTACGTAAACTTCAAAAATTACCAAGAAAATGTAAAATATTGTCGATATCCCCATCAATCTAATTGGATACACAAAAGCCCGCACAAAATGTTCGATTGTATCCAAGCATGTTTGCTACAAAGAAGCGGTTTAACGATCGGGCGGTTACGATGCCTCTTTTGAATATGCTTGTTAATTATGTAATAGACCTAGCTAAACGCAGCAATAGAATAGAACGTCTCTCTTCCGTGTGATATACTTTACTTCAAGTACATCTAAAAAGAAAGTCAACGTCTGTTCCGAAGGGTATGTACGATGCGCGAAAGCATGGCACCAGGCAGATCAAACCTGGTCATTACGTTTGTTGGCTGCCCCTTTATAGAAATAGTATAATTTATTTCAAGGGAATTAAGTTACAAAGTTTGTACATATAGTATGGCTCTCATAGCCGTTGTAGTGGTTCGGGGAAGATCGATGGGAAGAAGTGGTCAGTAAATTCCCTGTTGAAGCTTGGACCAAGTGAGTCGACAATGGAGGATATGCGATGTGCACACTGACTATTTTAGATCCTCGTATTGTCAACAAAGATATGATTGCGTGCCTTCCTCAGTTATCAATCAATGTCAACCACCACTGTTCATATAAAGCTACTATGCATGTACATGCGAACATGCATGCACATGTGAACACGGCTCGATCACTAGATACTGAGCACATTGATACAGAGAATCAAAATAAAACCCATCCACCACACACAATTTGAATTCACACATTAGTGAGCATGGTTGTAGAAATACGGCCTCCGGTC